AGTAAACGTTGTGAGTTGAGTGGAGTAGGTCGAAGTGATTTTACCTGTCCATCCGGTCGTCACAGTCGAGTTCACTATTGGGGTCTCAACGTAATACACGGTCTGTATCGTTTGTTTGCCATCCGACCCAGTGAATGTCGATGCGCTGGTAGAATATGTGGATGTCACAGATCCTGCCCATGGAGTGATCGTCGTGCTGATGACATTCACTATTGGGGTCTCAACGTAATATACCGTCTGTATCGTTTGCTTACCGTCAGACCCGGTGAATGTCGATGCGCTGGTAGAATATGTGGATGTCACAGATCCTGCCCATGGAGTAATTGTCGTGCTGATGACATTCACTATTGGGGTCTCCACGTAGTAGATTGTTCGAATTGTTTGCTTACCATCCGACCCAGTGAATGTCGACGCACTAGTAGAATAGGTAGATGTCACAGATCCTGCCCATGGAGTGATCGTCGTGCTGATGACATTCACTATTGGGGTCTCAACGTAATATACCGTCTGTATCGTTTGCTTACCGTCAGACCCGGTGAATGTCGATGCGCTGGTAGAATATGTGGATGTCACAGATCCTGCCCATGGAGTAATTGTCGTGCTGATGACATTCACTATTGGGGTCTTGACGTAATATACGGTCTGTATCGTTTGTTTGCCGTCAGACCCGGTGAATGTCGATGCGCTGGTAGAATATGTGGATGTCACAGATCCTGTCCATGGAGTGATCGTCGTGCTGACGACATTCACTATCGGGGTCTCAACGTAGTAGATTGTTTGGACGGTGATGGTGCCATCTTTACCGGTTGAGCTTAGTAAAGAGGTGCCGTAAGTGGAAGTTGCCTCACCGGTCCAAGCACTGTAAGCTGTAGAGCTGAAACCCTTTGTTGGGACTTCGATGATCACTAACGGCTGCGGACTTAAATTTCCATCTGACCCAGTGAAAGCCACAGTGGAAGTAGTCATTGTCGTGAACGAGCCAGACCACCCAGAGGTCGTAGTAGTCGGCGTAATATAAACCCCAGACCCACCTCCGCTCGCTGTTCCAGCGTAAAAATTAACACGCTTAGCATACGCCGTTGCAATCGTACTTGCACCGCAAATGAAACTCTCACGATATGTATTTTGAAAGTAAAGGGAGCTGGTCCCCGTATAACTTCTATCAATTACTTGATAGGCATTGACGAAAAGATGGTAGCCGGCAGGGATACTGCTAGCGCTTACGACAACCGTGTTACCGGAACAAGAAAGCTTGTAACCACTGGGCGCACTAGTAGCACTCAAGGGCATGTTCCAACTGTTGAACGCACTGGCCATGGAAACTTGAACATTTTTGCAGTTGTCCAGACTACCCACATTGTTGGGGGAGCCTGTAAAAACGATGGTCATCACTTCATTGAAGGCTTTGCTACAGGCACGCCCCAAGTAGTATGCGAATTGAAGTGTACCCGTTGCAGGTAATTGGTCATCATAACCATTAAAATTGGAAGCAGTTGCTAACGCGGTGATTTGCGGATTATAGTCTAGAGAGACGGTGGCCGATAAAGAGTCCCAAGTCACCGTATTGACACCAATTTTCCACTTATTGGCAGCCGCCAGAGCTCCAGGTGATGAAGAACCACCATCGGCAAACACAAAATTGAAGGTAATGGTTCCTGAAACCGTTTGTATGTTGTTTCTGCTGACAGTGCACATTAAAGAGGATGTTGACGAGTCAATAAAACCATTGTTGATGGCACAGTTCGCAAAAGTAGCACCGTTCTGATCTGATATGGGGATGTAGCTGCTCGACCCAATCGTCACGGAACCGTATAATTTGAACACATTTGGCATGGTGATGCTGAATGTATCACCCTGGGCCGCGGCCATGGCTCCAGTTATAGCATAATCAAGGTTTGCGTTCCATAGCGTTTCCGGAAATGGATATGATGGAGGATCAATTGATAAGTTGGTGAACACCCCGGACAGAGCTTTGGCATCAGCGAGGCCAAAAAAGCGAAATAACACTAGTAAGAATATTGGGTGCAGCATCGAGCCGGACGTCGTGCAACGCAGCCGCCACTTGATGGGTAGAATACGGCTAAGACCTCGATTACTCTTCTGCTAGCAGTAGGGCGGGAAATAGCTCTCACAACTGTTTGGCTGACTTGATGACTTATGAAAAAAAGAATTCATATATCAAGCCAAGATATTCGAAGGCCCGCTACCGTTTTTACAATTTTATCAATTAAAGTCATCAGATAGAACGTTAAGCGCAGGAAAAAGGAGGACGCCGGAATTGTGGGGCGTTCGACGATCATCACCGAAGGTCGAGAACGGAAGTGCATTTATTTTGAGGCGATACGTGTCGGTCTGTCCAGCGGCTAGAGCCGGACGCAGAAATGCGTCGTCCGCTGGACCTTCGTTTCTTTTTTTATTCTAACGTCCTCGGTCACCACTAGCAACGGAAGATGATCTCAGCCTTGGAATGCAGAAATGAGTACCTCAGAAGATGGAAGCGACGCCCTGGGACAGTGGTGTAGGTCCGGAATGAGCACAGCACCAGCAGTCATAGTTATGAGCCGGCGCGTCAACGTCAACGTCAACTAAGTTCAGCACACAACTCAGGAAAAAAATGAGGGTGTAGCTTCTTAGCAACAGGCAGGCCCCGTAGCCCGTTGACTTAGCCAAAGCCAACTCAAACTGCAGTGACAAGCGAGAAGGTCAGTGCAGAAACTGTTGTTTTGTCCCAAGAGACATCCAGGGTCGAAATTTCCTAAAGTGTAGAGAGGGTGTGCGTCTCCGTTAATGCACCATGGCGCCTGCAGGTACGGACTGGCAAAGTCATATTCCCACATTCCACGTAGCCCACTGCTGGCGCGGCTGAAGATACCGCTCGAGCGGCCTGAGCACAGACGGTCACGCATCGTGCCTGCACCTTCCGTTTCGAGTTCTCATGCACAGAAGCCGCACGGAAGACGCACTCTGCAGCGATGACGGGCTCGAGGAAAAAAGAAAGTAGGTCATGCAAATGATGTGCATGCTAGATCACGAGCGACGGGTCCAGATGTAAGGTCATTTATTCTAGCTAGCTCTGTGCAGGAAAGCTTCATTCTCACAATGGTTGATGTGGGTAAGCGTTTCGGGTGGTTGGCAACGCACGCATCGGGTTGAGTCTCTGTGAATAAAGGCTCTTTTAGAAGATACTAGCGACCGCTGCTACTGTGAAAAATGTAGACGAACAGTGTAGAAACGCATGTGTGAGTAGTCATCGTTCAGCCACGGGTATCTGAGGTGTCTGGGTGGGGTTTTCTGGCCCAGAAAAAAACCCACAAAAATGCGCACGATGAGATAGGCAGCAGCAGCAGCAACAGGAGAGAGGTTTCGTAGATGCGAAAGCCGGTCGTCATGAGGAACGACCACAACACGGTCTTTCTGACAGAGGTCAAAACAAAAGATCTGCGATGCAAGTCGTACGAACACGGACAGAAAGAAGGGCAGACGTCGACCGACGGAACACTTCTGGGCTCGTATTTGGGAGCCCGCGCGCTAGTGGCAACACATCCTTGGCGGACTTTCGGGCCCAAAAAATGGGTTCAATTCTGGATTCACGTAGCATGCTTTTCTTCTCCTGGGTATCAACAGCCAGCACCCAGAGTGGTCGAGAATTTTGGTGCGTTAGATTTCTTGGGTTGCGTGGCTTCTGTAATTATCCAGGTCATGGAAGCACTCCGCCCCGTTAAGCATACAGTGCTGTGTGGCAACATCGTATTCGTCGCCTTGACGACAGACGGGCGACTTTTGAGCGGAAAGCACTTTGGTATCGAGGAAGAAATGGGGTTGGGGTTGTGCAGTCACCGTAGTCCTGATAGAAAGCGGGGGCTCATCATGCGTTAATTGGTATATTTCTATTTGATCGAGTTTCCAAGAAAGAACAGTTTATAGTTTTAGTTGTGTGAACCACCTCCAAAATGGTTTTCTAAATTACGCGATCGATGGCCCAATGACAGCCTAATAAAAAATGACACATGAACTTTGGTACGTTGAAGAATGAAGTCCTGAACATTAGGAAAGACTATGGGCTACAGCTCGGCATGTCTTTGGTGTTCAAGGGAAGGACTCGAGAACTGCTTGTTCTGAATATTTGATGTGGAAAAATGGGAGCCTTGTCTTTTTGGAATAATGTGACACCATACTACATCAGAGACAAGGGAGCTGAACAAATCATTGCCACCACTCTCACCTCTAACAGACGTATGCCTTGTTTCTCGATTGGAGTTCCAGGCAAAGACGTTACGAAGCTCTCATACGAAGGTTCGACCGCGGCGACATAATAGTACAGAGTGATGTTCCTGTAGTCAGACACAAACGTTTGTTGTTCTCACAGCATGCACGGTTCAGAAGCGGGCCAGAAAGTTTGTCCTTGTGTATCAGAGTCACGCATTGTTTCAAATGCCAGATCTTCTCGTCTGCTGGTAAGTTTGAAGGCCTTTGGTTTTCTAGGGTCATATTGTAATGTATATTTAAAATCCTGCCTATAGTGTGAGCTGCATCGGCTATTGAATTACCATGGAACTTCAGATCCGTCATAGGAAGTAAATCTGCCTGCAACTTCGAGCATTTTGTCCAAAACGTTCGTGCTGATGGCGTCTGCCGATTCATCCGGGGTGATGGGCGGGAATGCCTTGAGTAATTCCTCAAACACATCTTTGAACCTGACATCGTTCAAAGCCTGATAGCCCATGTCGGTTCCGACGAGACCAGGATGAACAACCGCAATCTCGTAGCCCTCCGGACTCAGCTAAATTGAGCCCAGCTTTTGATAAACCGTAGCAAGAGGTTGAGATGGGGAAATCGATGTTGTTGGCAAGAGAACCCGCCGCAGAAGACACTACCACGAAGTGCTTAGTCGACTTCTTGTCCAACAAACTTTTGAAAGCGCGAAAAATTCGGATAGGGCCCAAGGTATTGACCGTGAAATGTTCGTAGTACAAATCGTCAGAGCTCTCCAAAATAGTGTTGTAGGACTTTGAGATGCCGGCGTTTGCAATCAGCACGTCGAGTCCATCTGGTAAAATACGAGCGGCTTCTTTGGCAGCCCCTTCGTTGCTTGCAGCGATGGAAACGTCCAACGACACGATATTCACGTTAGAATGCAAATCGGCCCATTTCTTCAGTTCAGAGGCACCTTCCACATTGCGGGCACCGGCAATCACCGTGTTTTGAGAGTCAGAGCTGAGCAATTTGACGAGGGCAAATCCAATTCCACGATTACCACCAGAGACGAAGTAAGATTTGGACATTTTTGTTTGTTCTGAAGAATCGGTGAGGAAGGGGAATTTATTGCTTGACAGATTGTTTCCAAGTGAAAAATAAAAACTCAATTGAATCCGATCAACATCATCCTCAGTATACTGACGTTTTTATATCTTTTTACATCCGATCGATCCATCAAGCTAGGTTTACATCCGTATGGGTTTAACTGTCATCAGAGTAGTGTATCTTTACACTCCTTCACAATCTTCCCCCACTGACCACGTGACTATTGATTTCAAATCGTCTTTTACCCCTCTTGTCACGTGACTCCTTTCGCAGCACGTGATGCCCCTGTTTTTCAATTTTCATTGTTTTACTCATCATCTCATGGCCAGCCTCTTTCCCATTACAACCTATAACTTAATAATAAAACACACTATCGACATTCGCCACCCACACAAACTAAACTACATCGTGCACATTTAGTCACCGCGTTAACAAGACTTTAGATTCAACACGAAATTAGCAAACTCCACATCGTTACTTCGCCCCAAGTTTAGTCGTTTTCCAACGAAGTCCGTACCGTTATTGTAGCACTTGCTAGAGCCCAATTTTTAGTCAGCTACAGAGATAAGTGTTAGAAAGGCGTGAGAACTGGTATAAACCGGGTTCAAAAGTGTCAAGAGGAGTTCCATCCACCTCATTCAAAGTATCTTTGGAGTGTCTGTTTGAGGATACTGTGCCGTTTTCTCTTTCTAGAGGTTACTCGCTCATAAACTGGCGGAAAACCTCGTATCATCAACATCATCATCGTCAACAACAAAACCGCCTGTTATGACCACTGTTAAACGGGTTTTGGACTCCCCCGTGCCTCCAGAGGACCCGGCCAAACGCAGAGGCTCCAAGCCGGGTCGTAAACCGCTCGACACAGAAGCCAAAAACAAACGTACGGCGCAAAATCGAGCTGCTCAAAGAGCATTCCGCGAACGTAAAGAGCAGAAAATGAAAGAGCTTGAAGACAAAGTGCTGCAGCTGGAACATGTGCAGCAGCAAAGCGAAATGGAATCGGATTTCCTGCGTGGCCAGCTGCAACAGCTCGTCAGTGAGCTCCAGCAGTATCGGCCCCAGCAGCCTTCGGACTCGCATGTGCTCCAGTATCTTGCCAAGTCCGAACAGTTGCAGAAACGGCACGAACACCTTCGTGGCAGGTCTGACAGCGGAAGCATCAGTCGCAGTCGCAGTAGAAGTCGCTCCGATGGCAGAAACACTTGCAACACCACGCCTACCGATGCAAGCGAGAATTCCAGTCCAATGAATGACGCAGCCAAGATCAATGAAAGCATGCAACGCAAGATGAGCTTCACTTTTGAGTATCCCAAGCTGGGGATGGTCTCGAACACATCGCCTGCGGATAGTGCCTCCACAACTGCGTCTTCTGGTCTCCCTCCCAACAAATCGTTGCCCTTTTTGGCTCCAACTCCAAGCACATCTTCAGGATCGTTGGATCTCTTTAGCTACAACAATACCAGCGACAATCAAAGCCTACCCAAATTCACACCTTCCACTAATTCTAACGCTTTGAGCAACGATTTCGATTTCAATTCTCATTTCGATGAGCAAGTGTCAGATTTCTGCAGTCAACTCAATGAAGCTTGTGGAACTCGCGAGTGTCCAATGCCAAAGAAAAACAGTCCCTCTTCGCAATCGTCACCGATTATACAGCGCTTGCAACAGTCTCGAGTGCCTTCAGTTTCGTCGCCGTCCGCTTCCTCTGCGAGGTCTCCCAAAAACACACAGCAGCTTCCGCAGGCGGCACAGCGACAGCAAGTTACTCAACAACCGGAACAATTGACTCTTACGAACTCCTGGGACTCGCCACAGTTTGGTCAAAGTGCCTTTGGCACGGAGTCCGATGATCCTGTCAACAAATGGATGTTTGGAGGTGCAGAGTTCTCTAAAATGAATAATGTGGTACGAGAGTCGACATACACTGCAGACTCCCTTCCATTTATTGATACTTCTCTTGCTTTTCCTTCAGACCAACAAGACCGGTTGTTCAATCACAATTCTGATGACGTTTTGACCCAGTTTTTTGAAGAAGACCCTACGGTGAATCAATTGACGACCGAAGAGAGCGATTACGATCCTTTCAGACCAAACCTGGGATTGATGTCCGAGAACGCCAATTCGAACTCGAATTTTGCTGGCTCGTCTCACTCGGTTTCAGAATCAAGTGTATCAACCACGATCACCGTGCCCGATCAAGCGCCTGTGGAAAAAACGCTTGCTTCTTCTTCAGCGTCTCCCGATGAACAGACGGGAGTGGTGGAAGATGTTGTTCCTGCGCGAGATGGAGCAATGCTAAAATGCTCTGAAATATGGGACCGTGTTACTGCGCACCCTAAATACTCGGACCTTGACATTGACAGCTTGTGTTTCGAATTAAGAACCAAGGCCAAGTGTTCCGAGAGGGGAGTTGTCATTAATGCAGACGACGTTCAGATGGCTTTGTCGAAGCACATGACGTGACGTATCAGGAGGATTATAAAGGATTAAAATACCGGTTCAAGGTGATTATAATGGTAATGGCCCGCTGGAACCTATTCCCGTAGATTCTTGTGCTAATGCTGTGGTTTTAGCGGTACATTATATGACACAGTGGTTCGCGATAACGGACACGAATGCACTATACCCCATGAGTTTTGTTTATAGCAGCGTATTCGTAACAACAACAAGTAATAAAGGATTATGAAATTGTGATTGTCGGGCGGGGGCGATGTTCAGGATATAAGTTCTTATTTCAAAACTCGCTCAAGTCCAGCCAGGACGTCACATCTTAACTCTTTGGACATCCCAATACGTTAAGTGAGCACCAAACCCGCAGGCAACGTTCGTGATACATGATGGGTTACTCATATGAAAATCCGTGTGAAGGCACATGCTCGTGAGTAGCCCTCGGATCACATGATGGGTTGGTCATTCGAACATTGAAGTATCCGTTACGCATCGCATATGTCAGGGAGCACAGCTCGAACACTCGAGCGCTAAGCGTGGCAACAACCCTCTTGAGACAATTTTGAGCTTTTGTGCTATTTGGGACAACGCTTTTTTGGGATAGATACTCGCTGACACTATGTGAGCCTTTCAATGACAGTATAGTACAAAGTGATATGGACACAGTTTTAAAAACTGATTGTTTGCAAGGACAAAAACGCGCTTCGAAACCTGCACATTTTTCCGTAGTGTGGTCTCGTAATTAATCAGGTCTGAACTCTGTGTAACGGTTCAAAAATGTCTCGAATATTTTATTTTTTTTGGCAAAACTCCTGCAAACATCACTCATTCTACATAGCAGAAACCAGTGACCATAATATATATCATTAACAAACCAAAACACTCGCCCCTGTCCTCTTTGGTCTCCATTGCAACGCTTAGCGTCGACAGTATTAACCTCGATTATTAACGTGACTTTTCCTTCCCCAGGAAATTTTTCGCTGACGTCCCCAGAGACTAATCCATAAATTGGCCCTGTATTGGAAATTAAGAATTGGAAATTGCTAGCCCTTTAAGGTTTGTTGCCACATCAAAAAGCACATAAAAACATAGCTTTAGAGGTTATATAGACTGTTTCAAGTGTCAAAACTACCGTTTTTTCTGCTCTCAGCGATATTATTCTATAGTAGTAGCTTTTAGAGCAATAAATAGGCCTAAAAACTCGTATATTAGAATATTCGGTTTGAAAGGACCCCTTCCCTTTAAAACTGAAGGCCCAAAAACCGAGTTTTTAAGTACAAAACGAAGCTTGGACAGTTGTTTTCAGGGTTTCAAAATTACCTTTCGTCATGGGAAACAATCCGTCCACGGCGAATTCGCCGCAGAATAAAAGAACAGCCCAGCTGACGGAAGAGTTTCGAGACCGCCAAGGATCCATCACTTCACAGCTGTTTCCCAGTAGAGGCACAGGACGAAATCCTGAAACAGTGAAAAAGCTGGGATGGACCAGTCGTGTTCTTCCAGGGTCGAAAAATGCATCGAGATCGCCATCCTCGGGCCAACAGCATGCGGCTAAATCGCCATTCCGCAAAAATTATTCCCTAGACGTGAATAATCAAGATTCATCAGCGCCGTTCGCGCTGAAAAAAAGTCCCCTGGGTAATCCTGCACCTCCCATGTGCATTACAGCTCACGCCAGTGCTGATGAATCGCCGTCCTCGTCTCTCAGAGATTTTTTGGCGGAGCTGTCGTTGCAGAATTCTGAAACGCAACCAACCACTGTCACAACAGCGTCTAGCACCGCAGGTACGGCTTCTGCTTTCAGAAGCCCAGGTCCAGCCACGCCTGTGGTTCAGTCGACCAAAACAGATGCATTACCGGATCATTTGTCAAGTACCAACTCTTTAAAAAAACTACTGGTCGAAGGGAGGATCGGAGAATCCATAAATCTTCCCATTTCAAATGCAAGTACACCAAGAAGATCTAGCAGGTCCAGTTCAGCATTGTCTGATACATTCATGTCGGACGACGACGGCGATGATGAAGAATCATTGTTACAAGGTGCTAATGACGTGCTTATCAACAACTCCATTTTGGAAAATGCCATGAAGCGGAAAAGAAGTACCAACAAGAAAAATGGCGCCATTGGTTCACTTCTCGGCTCTCGTGAGACATTGCATCACCCTGGGCCTAAAAAGCTTAAACCTTTAAGCTCGGATCCGGAACGAACGAAACTACCGGATTTCAAGGTCATGCATGCTCGTTCTACTGACGAAGAGACGATCGAAAACTCCATATCAATGCCTCGACTGGTGCAAGACAATTTTGACCGCATTGATTCCTTTGATAAGGGAACAGCAGAGCATTTCGAGGGTACTTACAGTGGGACGGACAGCTCTCAGAAAATTATATCTCCATCAGGGCGAGACTCAGATTCTCAAAACGAAACCATCGAAACTCATGTTCTGGTCAAGTGGAAGGATAACATCGTGGATCCTAAAACATGCAAGATGTCTATAGTAAGCAGAGACATCATGACAGTTTTGGGACCGCATAATAAATCGAAGAAAATTCCCATGACGTTTGATGCAAGCTCGAAATGCTGGGTCGCTCCAAACTTATTCCTTCCACCAGGGATCTACAAATTTCAGTTTTTGATTAATGGCGAATTACGGCATTCCGACTTTCTTCCCACCGCCACTGATTCTTTTGGCACCTGTGTCAATTGGTTCGAGGTCGTTTCCGGGCATGAAACAATAGAACCATCCAAAGATGTTCCATCTGTAACAGATGCTGAGGTCGATGATAATGGAGGAAGGATCCCAAACTCAAAATCTCCGAGACCGCAGATGAAGTCAGACTCATCTTCCTCCGATTACAGAGGTTCTCATCGCCATTTTGAGAGAACAGGAACGCCTTTTTCTGATTACACAGGTGTTTGCAGCAGGTCTGACTCTTTCAAACCACAACTGAATCAGAGGCACACCAGCAGTATCGATTTACTTGCTCCTCCGCAGCAAAAAGTGCACAGCTACTCTGATGAAATTCCAGAATTGTTCAAGACAAATTTTGAAGACGAATCAGAGTTGCCTTCTTACGATCAACCGCAGCAACATGTTGAGGATGGCACGGATAGTCCAAGCTTTCTGCACCGGGTTCAGGATTGTAATCAAGACCTACTCTTTGCGGATCTGCAACAAGATGGAAAAATCGATTCCCAGGCAGCTGAGGAAGCTTTTCTGCAACAGTACCCTACCCCCGATCTCCCCGTTTACTTGGACTCTTCATTCTTAAATGCAGTCTTTAGTCGCTTCCAAAAAAAGAATGAATCTAACAGCAGAGTTAATCATATCGTTCCTCATGTCAATCTAAACCATCTTTTGACAAGCAGCATCAGAGACGAGATCATTAGTGTCGGCTGTACGACAAGGTATGAAGGAAAATTCATCACTCAAATTATCTATACGCCCTGTTACTATGGTAATACGGAAAGTTGACGGTTCGAAATGTACCCCGACTTTTGAAATGCATATTTTACAAAATACTTGATGCGTGGAGGCTGGTTCACATGATAACGCATTTGGGCTCTGCCTTCTTGCGTCTTATTATTCTCTTGCGCTTAAACTTTGCCACCTTCTGCTTCAAATGGACGGCTTCATTGTCAAAACTACTGAAAGGCTTGAGAATGGATGGCATAGTCTTGGCTCTTGCAACAGTGCTCATAGAACCGACACTGAAAGTTTTAGAAAGGCCACTCTTGGCCGAAGATTTTGACTGTGTCTTCAAGAGTATGTCGCTGTAACTAGGCTGATCACTTCCACTTGGAGACTCGGTTCTGGATAGTGGCTGCTTAGTTGGAGAGTCGTGATGGAATGCCCAATCTCCTATGCTCTTGACCGTTCGAATCGACCGATGGGCAGTCGATTTGTTGGAATTGGTACGAGTTGCAGCATAGAGCTGGTATATTTGCGGATCTTGTGCTCTGTAAACGTCCTCATTTTCCATCGCATCTTCCTCCTCGTTAACGCCAACAAAGCCGTCTCTAGATGATTCACCGAAGGGAGATATTGATGTGCCGAAGCTAGGACCACTCATGCAAGTGGCTACTTGAGTTAAGGAGGAGTTCAAGGTGGGCTCCAATTGTAGAGTACGGTCTGATAACGCAGACAAGGACACGTTTGGTTTAGGGGACAAACGCGAAATGTTTGGACGATACTCTTGAGCATCAGCAGCTACATCGTCCTGAATCATCACCAGGGTGTAGAATAGAACTTTGGGAAAGAATTTGTTCAACTCTAGTACATCGTGTAATGCAAGCATTTGTAAATTGTTCATGGAAAATTTGTCGTCATATAAAAGCCAATCGTCGTTGACATGGGCCACATTAGGGTCGTTATTGGACTGCCTAATCGCTGTAAATAATTGGCGGCTTTCTGGTCTTTGTATAAGTATTGATTGCAGGACCAGCCTGAATCGACCGAACTTCTCGGAAATAGAAAGTGAGGGAAAAATGGAAGTCATTGAGCTAGAATATGGAGAACATTCAGAATCATAGCTCAAGGATCTTAGGGAGTGATCAACACTCGATAATTCCGATAAGCTGTCATCATCAGGGTTCGATGATAAATTGGTGTCCTCTCTTGTAATTGTGTGGGTTAATGCCTCGCCCTCATAGGACGAATCATCCGTGCTTCGAATCGACGACATGCCTGTTGAGGAAGTGTTCCCCGTTTGGGTGCCATTGGAGCCTTTCAAAAGCTCTGCAGGTTTCTTAGAATTCCTACTGTGAAGGCTATGATGTCTGAATTGGAGGACGAGCTCACTGCTATTGTCATCGTCGTGACTGTTTAGCCCTCTGTCCTCATATAATTCTTGCGATTGGCTGTCGTCGGGATTACTAACATCGCAATCACTGGAACACACAGATTCGGGGAATTCGACAGTGACGGATCTGATCGGGTAGGCAGGAACCTGCGGATCGAAATCCAGATCTTCCAGTATCACTGTGGAAGGTTGTGGCTCTGTTTGAGGACTTGGGATGCCCGAAGAAGAACGCAATGAATCGTATCCGGTCTCTCCGCTTATGATGCTGGTTTGGTTGTTGGAAGACGGGGGTGGAGGTAACAGTTCATTGTGAACGGATCTGTGTTTAGCCCCGAACTCCAAAAACGACCTATCGTTGAAATTGCTAAGGTTATCGCTGATAAGGTAATGATTTTCGTGGTTGTAGCATTGTTCTTGGGTCAATTTGCAGATCTGAATATGCTGCAGATCGTCCAAATGGAAATAGTCCCGCAAAAAATTCTCCAGCAGGTTTGTATTTTCGTGAATAGCGTCTGGGATAGACACCAGCAGCAGCTTTTTGTTGAACGGGAACGTTGCCGACAGAAGCTGTTCGTTCAAGAACCTTTTCAGGAGCGCAACTTTCAATTCGTTGTTGTTGAGTTCTTCGAAATTCCCGCGTCTCAAATTGCTCAGATACCACGCCCATAATCCATTGTCGTCATTGCCGAAATAATCGTCGACTTTGATAGAGTTTCCAAGCATATTAGGCGGTCTTTAAAGGGAATTGAAAAGAAAGCAAAGAAAGCCAAAATCTAGTTCTCGAACTCCCAAAAAACAACAGACGTCCAGATAACAATTCGCGTGTGTATTTTTAATATGTCTCTACCACACTCGCTCACTCACTCACAAACAACAGACGTCCAAATAACAATTCGTGTGTGTATTTTTAATATGTTTCTATCGCACTCACTCACGCACAATGTTTTGCAGTAAAAAACTCAATTGGGCCTCTAAAACCGAAATTTGAATCCCGAATAATTACACCAACAGTGTCCGCACCTCTACCCAAATAATTCAAACTGAAAACCGGTTTCAGTTTCCACCGAAAACAAAAAAATATGAAATACCTCTCGAAATATCAATCGGATTCTTTACAAAGATTATGGAAATTTCTAAACACCACGAGCAAATTTCCGCGCTCACCTTGGGTTCACCATCCAATTACGCCAGTTCCAATGATCCTCACAATCTTCAGATGGATCAATTAGTCTATTTGGATGTTTTAACTTGTGGTGAATATTTCATATCTGTTATGGTTCGGATCTTACATTTTTCACGTTATATATATACTGTTTACTGATATTAATGCCTAGGTAGTAATAGTTAATGAATTATTCCATACTGGAAAGAATATATCGAAAATGCCTCAGGGTTTTGGGGCCGGGTAAGCGTGGATAGGTGACAGGTTTAAAGAAATGTTTAAAAACCCTGGCGCGGGGTGAAGAATGAGAGTTTAGGATGAAGTGTGAGGTGTTGTCATTGTATGCGGAAACTTGGCCATTTTTTGGTGCCAATTTGGGCTTTCTGGGAGTGTGGTGGAAAATGGTGGGAGTTGAGTTTTCAGGGTAAAAAGAATTCTGACAAGATGGCGTTGGGGAGATAAGGAAAAGAGGAAGAGGAGGGGAGTGTGGTAGCTTTATAGCATGGAGAGGAAGAATGGAATGATTGTTTCGATTGTATTTGTTTTTGAAGTTAGAGTGTGAATGATTGAATGTCGATTTTTACGACATAGGCTTTAATATATGAGTGCAATGGAAAACACAAAGGCATAAATTCATTGTGAGACTTTTGACAAAGTTAGAAAGATCTGTCTCGCCATGTTCATGAGTCACTTATGAATCTGACGTGAGCTCTGCCCTTGAAGAGGCCCGCTGGTGGGGAAAAGTGTTCATCGTTTTATACTATTCTGTCGCTGACACCACATACCTATAACGTACAATTCACTGACACCAGATACTTGTCACTTACAATGCCCTGACGCTACTTACAATGTAAGGAGTACATTTATAATTACACTTTATATATCAAAGTTCATGCTAATTATCGGCCCACCCCAAAGAATTTTCTGAAGATATGGGTCCCGATATTTGTATTTTATGCAGAGCATTTTTGGTATGCCCGTGAGGTCCCATCTCGTGAACCGTAGACGATCGTGCCCGACCACTTCCATGGAAAATGTTGGCGCCATGCAACGTGGAGGCAATAGATCGACGGAAGCTCGCCCGTCTAGAGTTTTCCTGGCCCGTCGCAGTAGCGCTACGGGATCTTTCCTGGACATTGAGCGAGTTTTTCTCAGCGGACCTCTGTTTCGAATCCCCGACCTTTGCGGTTCTTGAATCTCTTGTTTCCCTACGTTCTGGCAATGCTTCTTCGTCGATTGCGAGCCTTGCATGCGTCAACTGCGTCTCATCGTCTCTTTCAAGACTAATGATTGAGGCCGGTCTTGGAGGTCGTTTCGGACGCCCACCCTCGTCGGAAATGTGTCCCGCTTGGGGCGCGCTTCTAGCGCTGTCAAAAAAACCAGTAGCAGAATTCGCAGAAAGCCCAGAATGGGAGTGTGTGTTCCCGAACGACGATACCCGGCTTGAAGACTGGATCTGCGGAATGCTACTCGCAAACGTATTAGAACTCGAAGACCCTCCTAAAGCCCCTGTCAGGCCACTGGCAGTCGATAATCTTCGGTACATCACTTCATCCAACTCATCAAATTCGCCCACATGGACATCGTTTACTTCATCGTCGTCACTGTTTGATGCGGAATCAATGTTGAAGTCGTCAACGTCATCTGCACCTTCCAAGAATTCGTCATTTGGTAGGTCCTCTGAATATTGTCCTGTGCTAGCAGCATCAGGAACAAGCCCGCTTCCATGTTCTTCACTGTAGAAATAGTCTTCGAAGTTTTCGTCTTCAGTGGAGAGCTGTCCCATTAGATTCAAAGATTCATCTGACAGAATGTTTGCTTTGGATCCGCTGTTGCTGTTAGAATCTGCTTCGCGCGTCCCGGTACTTGTTAAATGTGCCGGTGACTGTGCATATTCCGAGTCGGACAAATTGGCCAGAAACTGATTCAGCTTATAAAAGTTTTCATTATTGTAACTTTCAAAAGTGTCAGTATTGTTCTTGTCCAGAGAAAATCGTTCGAAATCCAAGACTGACAGCTCAACGTTTCCTTCATCGTCAACGTCCAGCTCATCTAGCTCCGAAACCTGACGAGATTGTGTGATTGAGGTTGAGTGCTGTTCCTCAGTGACTGGATCATTTTCATCGCCCTGCAACTGTGTACCGCTTTCATCCGTATCTAAAGCTGGAATATCAGCATTAGCAGGTGTTCCGGCAAAGTAGAAGTTACCGTCCTCATCCGTTTGATAATACAAGCCAGTGCTTCTGCTGAACACCATATTGTTCCCCATGGGTATCAAATCGTCATCTTCATAAGACTCCGAGCTACTGTTACCATCAGGGAAACTGTTACTGTGAAGATACTTTTCTAAGTCTCTTGATATGCGCGACGGACGTCGACTAAATGGGGCCATGAAAAAGTCTTGAGCAGTCCTACCATCTACGTTCCATGCTTTCTCCTTTAGCTCAAGGCGCTGCCTGATTGGAGGTAACTTGAAGAGGCGGCCGAAAAATGCGAATGAGATTAAGACCCAAGTTGCTAGGAAAAATAGGAAAATTGGTATGAATATGAGAAGTCTTTTTGCTTTGCTAAAAGTCACTTTAAAAAGACTGTAGCCATTTAGCACCCCTGATTCACCTTTAGTCGATTCATTTCCTGAGCCGGTACTAGAACCGCCCGTGCCACCACCCCCAATACCTGGTGAAGAGCTTGATCCTCCTGAAGAGCCACCAGATCCCGAAAGTGTTGGGTCAATAAGCCCTGTGAGAGGAATGGTGGGATTTATCAGCAGTGACAAAGATCGCAAGGCTGGATCAGGGTTTGAATATACTCTGGAATTATTATTCAGGACCATTCTCTGCAAAACACTAATGGCATCTGTAGGGAAGTAAACGACAGCAATAGAACTGATGTAATTGTCTCCAGCAACTATCAATGGCATAATTTCACTGACAGCGACGCCAGAAAAGTTGGCTTGAAAAGCATCGGAAAAATTACCACCCCATCTAGCTTCTATGGCAGTCGTAATGGCAGATCTTCGATAAATGTCGTCAGATCGGGTTTCGAATCTGGAACCCAGGGGTTTGCTCTGTTCCGTTGTGCTTGAGGTCATAGCCAAGTTTTCAAATTGAACACTCATGTTAGCTTTTTTATGATGGTCTTGCCATTTCGTGAAAGGATACGTCAAGATGTCAGGAAGAAAGCTGAAAATCTGGGCTGAGGCAAGGGGATTGTCGATTAGGAAAGGGTAATTCAAGGCCCGTTTGAAACCCACTGTAATTTGTGAGTAGTTGTGTGGCTGATCAACGGGAGCTGTGGGCAATATTACTTGTGGGAGAGTTGCTGTTGCCTTGGCGTCAAAACTTGATCGTTGACTGGCACTCTCATAGGGCGGCGCCGTGACAAGGCTAGAGGGGAGCCAATTCGATGTTGTTGGATTAATTGGGCCTTCCGAGGAAGATGACGGTCCATGTGATGCAAATGATGCCGATACTTCACCTGTCGCATGTGTCTCCCCTGATACGAGAGTCCCACTGGTGATTAATGCCGAAGAACCTGTAGAGCTCTGAGATCCTTCAGTCGCGGTCAAAATAGAACCAGAAGCTCTATAATCGCTTGGCGTGGTACCCGCCAAAGATGCGGTAGATGCAAGAAGTGTTTGCGCGAAAGACGATCGCTCTTCAGTCATTGTAGCTGAGGATACGAGGTTTGTTAGTTGTGAGTGTTGATCGCTCTCACGGGATCTTATAGTAGCCGATGGCAGACTGCTTTGAAAGTCAGATTGGACGGATTGGGCAGATTGGGCGGATTTTGAGCTCTCCATATTTGGAACACTGCTCGCGACGGAATAGTGACCAGAAGACGTAACGACATCAGATGTCATAACGGAGGTCGTAGAGCCCAGACCTTCTGTTGATCCTCCAAAAGAAGCTGAAGCACCATCGGAAGATCCCGTGTTTGGGTTTGTGGAATATGTGGCACTCGTCAAGCCACTAATTGTCGAATCTAAAAAGGAAGTCTCCGACTGAGAAAATTGTGAGGAAAGATAGTGGGCATTCGACGACGATGATTGTTCAAAGCTTCCCAAAGGCGTGACAGTCCCACTGCTCACAAATGGAACCTCTCGGGATGATGATTCTTTGTAAGTAGCAACATTCAAAGACTCAGAGGCGAGGGAAGGACGAATACTGGATGGTGTATTCGTGACTCCAGAATTCGGCAGCGAATAGGAAGTAGAGCCTGTGAGACTGCCAGGTTGCGTCCCTCGATGTGAAGAAACAAGCGAGCTAGTCTCCATCAAAGGAGAAGATGTGGACTGGGATACGGAATAAGTTGTTTGCAACTCCGTCCCGACGTGCGAGATCGTCATTGACATCGAATTCGAGGAGGTCAAGAAAGTAGGGAGAGAGTCAGATGTGCTTTGAGAAATAGTTTGTTCGATTGGACCTTGCGATACCTTTTGTAAGCTTCCAGAAAGTGATTTTGACGCCAAAGAAAATGTGGAAAGAGTCGAGAACCCGCTTTCGTGTGAAGCCTGCGCACTTGTGGTGACGAAAGAGGCCTTTTGATTGGAAAGAGAGGCAGAAGTGAAGGTAGAAGAAGAGGCGGGAAGAGATTCCTGGCTACCGGTGATCGATGGTACGCCTGTAAGCGATCCCGATACATCGTTCGAATGTAAAGGTGAGGACAAAGCGTCGGATGAGGTACTTTGTGAGAGAACGATCGGTTCAGAATAAACGCTTTCTGTGCTTGACTGTGTGTTGGGTAGCAGAAGAGACGGAGTTGAAGCAGTTCTGAAATTGTCGCTATTGCTACTCTCCGTTAATTTCGGAAAGGTGCCAGTACTTCGAGCGGGGCTTTCAGTACTGACTGATGGCAAGGTTTGAGATTTGGTAGAAAATATAGCCTCAGCAGTAAGACTGCTAGAATCACTTTCCGCGCTTCTAGCCGTATACTCTGAGCTTGCGCCAACTATAGTATTCAACTTCGAACCAACATCCGCTGTTGAGGATGAGCTAGTAGTTGATGTACCACCTAGGATTCCGGTATTCCTTATCGACGATGCTATTACGGTACTTGCAACGGATTGTAGATCCGTACTAGTCGTAGATGTAGGCTGATTGTACGTTCCAGTTGATGCTTCAAGCGAAGTCGGGCCGGACGAATCGGAACTGGAAGAGAATGGTAATAAAGTCTCATCGGTAGACAACGAATTCGGAGCACTGGCTAATGGTGAAGGGACTGAGGAGACTTCTGTCGATGTAGGGGTACGGGCAGAAGGAGTAGGTGCTTTCGCGGTCGATGTGGGCGGGATATCATAAGCGCTGGCAGAGGGCGAATTGGAACTTGAGGCCTCCGATTCAAGTGAAGGACCGATCGTGGTAGGAGTCGCGGTAGCAGAGTGAGATGTGGGCATCTCAGTACCACTGGTGCTTCCTGGGCTAAAACTGTCGACCGCAGGATTAACAGAAGAGACAGTAGAAGGACGATCAGGTTTGGTGGTATCAGTGCGTATATCCATGCGCGACTGCGTTGCCGTGGGTGAATCATTAGTCGTGTGCGCTTCTCTAGAGGTAAATGAGCTAGTAACGCTGCCAGTCGAAAAGTCTTCTTGGGTAGAGGAATCGGTTAGAGATGGCGAATTATAAGTAGATTCTGAAGAGGCATCAGTACTGGGAAACCCAACAGTAGAAGATATTCGAGTTTTTTGTGTAGATGAAGGATTTGAACTGGTAGAAGATTCAGTATCATATGCAGCCTCGGTACTTTTAGCTGCCGAGGTAGTACTTGTTGTTGGCGGAATGAAACCATCACCGCTAGATTGTTTTGTTGTAGAAGGTGAATTGGTGGATTCTGGGGTGGCTGTCGTATCAATAGACGCTGTTGATGAACTCGTAATTTCAATAGAAGATCCGTCAGTCGGGTCTGAACTACGCGTCTGTGTGTTGACTGTGGACGAGGGGGAGCTGTTGTCGTTCACTTGTGAGTCCATTGTCGAATAAGACACTTGCTCAGTATCCGACGTTTTTGGTGTACTGGTGGCACCACCGGCGCCAAGCGGCGACGATGCGGTGGCCTCCTGAATACTCTCAGAATTTTGAGAAGTGGACGCACTTGTCGAAGGGCTTGTAAAGGTGGAAGGCGAAGCGTTCCCTGGAGAACTGACCTGCGTATCGCTCTTGGATGACTCTTGCTCTGCTCCTGCGGTAGAGTCCGTATACGTTGTGTAGTGCGATGGTGCCTGTGTCGAGACATCATTTGTACTGGAAGGTATTTCATCTGACGAGGAGCTTTCTGTAGAGCTCACTAGCGTGGGACTAGATGACGATACAGAGGTGGGCTGCTGACTACCAGAATCTGGATCTAATGTTGAGGAGTCACTGACAATTATTGATGGACTCGTTGGGCTTGAAGGTTCGCCCAATGTGGCGCTACTGCCCGCAGTAGTGACGGATTCTGCAATAGATACCGCTAAGTTCGCAGCCATCGATTGCGAGAACTTTTTAGCTAAACTGCCCGTGGAAGAGGACGTTACGACGCTATCAGGGTCGCTGTAGCTTTGAATGGATGATGAAGAGGGTATAGAAAGCCCGCTGGTGGTTTGAACACTCGAAGGCAGAACGGCAGAGAAGGTGCTTGTCGGGAGAGTGATCGATGAAGGCGATTGCAAATTACTGGACTCAGCTGAATCTTGGGTCGCCAGAGATGGCAGTGATGATGTGACAGCAGAAGAAACCAGAGAGCCAGCACTGGTTGCTGATGCACTCAAAGATACTGCAGAGCTCAAAGATCGGATAGTAGTATTACTTTGTAATGACAGCTCTGGAAACGGGGCTGCACGCCTGTAAAAAGTGCTTCCCGCCAGTGTGGGAGCCACCAGAGCCAGGATACACACCAGCAAACATGTCGAAATTCTTGATTCCGCTCTTGTAGTCATGGAAAAGGATCGCCAAGTCTTTGCAGCCGACCAATGTTAGCAATCAGTCCAGTGTGATGGCCGTGAGCTTGGCACCGAAAAGCTGCGTCGAACAGTGTAGTAGCGATGGAAATCGTGCCGTTTTTTGCCAGCCGGTGACTCAGAAATTGAATGGGCCTCGCACGCAGCTTGCAAAGTAGAAGCAATTGGCTCTTTTGTTCTTTTTTCGAAGCTTGATATTATTTTTGGTCAAACCTCACATTCTTGCATTAACGTTCCGCTTGCGTTATTCCACGATGGGTTACCTAGTAGAGACAAGATATTTTTTATTAGGTCACATGTAAAATACTCTCCAGGTCATGACAAACGAATGATAAATTAGCCGCCCAGCGGAATGGGTAACAAACACAAAAAAGCACATGCGACAGCTGAAGGTCAAATCATTGGATAGATGTCTAAGTAGAGATATGAATTATTCGAGAACCACTTCCCTCCTCAAGCTTTCTTTTTAGCTGTTCACACGCCGACAGATTGTCTTACTTCTCGCGAATTGTAACATTATCGCCGATACTGGGTTGTCTACACCATTCAAACAACTAAAGCAGGGCAAGCGAATCAGAAAACATCTTCAAACTTGTTTGATAGGTACTTACCCATGGCCATACGTGAACCTTCATGTGTTTTAGGTTCAAACATTTTACTTCAAAAAAAGTGGTGTGTAGTGGGTTAAACTCGGTAATTAAGTATCGGTGCTTTAACGTCTGAATATATGTGTGTATGTATATATGGTCACAAAGGTGGTTTAACCACAGGTATCGCTTCCTTGAGCTCATAGGGAGCTATAAAACATCAATACAAGCAGTCTGGGCGACCTGTGTCCTTGGTAAATGCAGTCATGCGTAATTACTTCTCAACCCAATCCAAAGAACTCATCTGAGTCAGTCTACTCAAAGCTCTAGCAAAGGCGAAGCGCTCTTCGTCCAGCGTAAAGATATTGGAGTCCAGCGCTTTTCCCTCTTTCTCCGTACTCACGGGACGCAAGGTGTAGTCGTTCAGAATGGCTTCCGGCTCAACAAAGAGCTTTTGAAAAGGAGCAGCTGCGGTGGTGGCGAGTTTCCCACCGTTGTCGTAGACGGCATCGAGAAAAGTGATGAAACGCCGTACTTCATCGCGGACATGGATTGACAGAAAAGGAATATCGGTGATCACGAAGCTTTTGAAGGCGCCGGAAAGCGCCAAGTAGTCCCCAGCAGCAAGTGGGTTCCCACAGAGCTCTTTGAAGGTGAACTGCGCAACCCTTTCTGGGGTACAGCGGGGTACGTTTAGCTCTCTGCCCCAAACTTTGAGCTTGAAGTCGATGTGAGACTCATGATGCTCGTTGCCTTGGCCACTCGTCTCCAATTGTGAAAAATAATCGTACCACTGTTCAACGTGCTGCTTTCTTGCCATTGTACACTCCGGCGACCGGTACTGCAGTTCCTCGGATGGGAAATAATACACCGAAGAAAGTGGGCGGCTCACTTTGCGGTAGTCGGTCTTGGAGTCCAGCTCGACCACCTGCGTCCTCTGCTTTAGCAGCTCGATGCATGGAATGAACGACTCGCGCTGAATGCCGTTGATATACAGGTCATCTGGTTTTCTATTGCTGGTGGCAAAAAGAACCACACCGTATTTTTTGGACAGCAACGCTGTCATGAGTCTTCTAAGAACCATGGCATCTGCCACGTCTGTAACCTGGAACTCATCAAAACACAACACTCTCGACTGGCGTGCAATTTCTGTGGCCAGAAACGGGATTGAATCAATCTCCTTGTGTTTGGCGCCTCCCAGAGCGTCGAGGTTCAGCTCTTTTACCAGTTCGTGCGACCGCTTATGCACGTATTGCATGAACTGGTGGAAATGCATTCTTCGTTTAGTGAGATGAGGCGGAACTGTCGAGTAGAAAAGATCCATAAGCATTGTTTTGCCACACCCCACATCGCCATACAGATATATTCCCTTTGGGATGCCCTCAGTGGAGTACTTGGGCAGCAGCATTTTGCCTAGAATGCTGGCTCTCCATCCAATTTGGCTCAGTGGATTGGGGTCTCGTACTTGCGGTGGTTTATACTCTACAAGCGATTCGTAAAGCTTGCTTAGCGACAAAATGACTGACCTCTGCAGCGGATCGTCATTAAGCCTTCTTGATTTCACCAGCTGTTCATATTTCTCCAGTGGTTTGCAATAATTCGAATTATAGCGTACACACGCAATTTTTGAAAACCCGACTCTGAGCACTGGAGATTTCAGTAAATTTGGACCGGCTCGTGTTAGTCCCATCGTTCTCCTGTACTGCCTTTATCGCGGCTTTCACTAACCGTACGGCTGCTGTCTCTTCCTTGGGTTTATCTGGTTTTCTTCAGCAGAATGGACGAAACCTCGAGAAAGCTCGACAATTTTGACATTTTTACCGCATTAAAGCCTAAGCACGGCTTCCAACAGAGAAGCGCCCGGGATCATCGTTTCAAAGACCCAATCTCAACACTAAGCAGTTTATGAATCATTAGAGAGTGTCTGGACCAGGGAAACAAGCTCGAAAGGATCGTATTCGAGTTCGAATTTCGCATCTGCCATCACACCTTTTTCTCATGTAATATCAATTTGAATATCGACCGTTACAGAAAGTACTCGTGCATTTGAAGATAGTACTCAACAATTAAAGTTTTCACACCTATGCTGTATATTATAGGTAAAGTGAACAGAAGATGCCAAAATGTAGCGCTAATCCAGGAATACAGCTCGACTTAGTGGCTGAACATGGAGGCCTTGAAGGCTCAATTGGAGCATCTCAGTATAGAACATGATCTTATTGATATAACTGCGGAGTTCCAGAGCCTTGCGAAGGAAATGAAGCCCGAAAGCGTCATCAAGGCGCCTTCATTTGATTTGTTCGAGGGAACACACTCTCTTGAGATCGATAATCTCAAACTCGATTCAAGTTTGCTGCAGCTGACACAGGCAGAACAGGATTTTGATTGCAACGTTTCGCATGGAAGTTCTGATGAACAAAAAGTGGAATTTGTGACAGTAATTGTGGATCGTATTTGCAGATCTATCGTACAGTGGCTCAATGAGTTCCAAACTCTGCCAACAACCTTGTTGAGCTGTCGCTACGTCGAACATATGATGCATCAATACACGCAGGATCCATGTGGCGATCTCAGTACGTGCAGACTAGAAACCGGTGATTTACTGTTTGATCAGGTCCTGGCGAGCTGCGTGGTTGGTGCGTGCTATTTCGTGAAATTCGTGCAAACGCTGTTCAGGGCAGGCGTCGTCTTTGAGGAAGAAGACCTCAATTGCAATACCATGGGGCTCGACATGCTTTCTAACGTCACTATCGAAATCGTCATGTCGCATCTCGATTTGAGCCAGCAGCTGCTGAAAAAATCCTACCCCGAAAATGATCAACTTCTTCTGCTGGTCGAATTATTGACGCACTTGGTCGAGCTCGACAACTATCTGCCGTCTAATGAAGCATCATCCTTCGGCTCTCCCAATCTGGAACCCGTTCACAGGCTGATCGGCTGCGCAGAGCGGGCAAAATTTTTTGAGATGCACAGTCCTGAAGTTTGCGAGGGTGTCTTTTCGACCGGTATACAAAAGAGACTTTCGAATCAATTTCCACCCAGAGAAATCGTGAAACCGATGGGTAACGAATATGATGGATTTATCGAAATGGGGAAAGACTTGCTTCTTGTGCTTTCTGTAGAACAAGCTACCACGATAACAGAAATCTCTCAGTTTTCTCGATTCTTCAACCGCACCAAGCAGCGAAACGTTATAGCTCGAGCCTTTTTCCCTCTCTATCTGATGAGGGATGATCAAACGGTTTTGGGTCAATACACCTTTAATGACTTCTCTTTTCTACATTTAAAGGAATTTTCTCTGTGTAGTACATCCTTGTCCACTGCATTAGAACAGGAGCCCGGGGACTCAGCTTTGAGACATAAGTTCGAAGATTTCTTGCAAGAAATATCAAGTGTCTTGTTCGAATGGTACCAAACAACAGCACAAAATCGCTGTCGATACAGACAGGGCTATAATAGGCAATTACTGCTGTGGGATTCGTTACAAGCCCAAATCGAGACTTTCGAGTTAGAATTAGAAGGACAAACGATAAAGGATGCACTTGACGAGGACAACACTCTCATGCCGATGACGACTTGGGTATTTTACATGAAGTTACGTGCCATGTCCGACTTTGTTTTGATGGGCTTTGAATTGGACGTCTACAGACCTTGGGAGTTCTTCAGCATGTTTTGGTATGGCTACTACTTGAATCAACACTTGGAGAATAATTTAGCGAGAGTTTCCAAATCTCTGGTGGCTAAGATAGCATCGATCATGAGTCTAAATAAGAAACTCAAGAAATCAAAGGCGGGTGAAAAAAAGGATAAGGTGAGAGAGATCTATCGTTCTAAAATGGCCGAGGAAATGCCGTTTTTAACAAAAACCAGAGAATTTGTTGCGTATAGTACTCTAGATTGCCAAATTACGAAAACGCTTTCATTGGTTGGGGCTTGTCAATTTTCGATCTTGAAGTCTTGCGGACTCATCGATAATCAGAATCCTGCCAGTACCGCGTTCAGTTCTTCGGAATGGGTGCACAAGCTCAGGTTTAAAACCTTTTCTTCAATAGGTGTTCCTGAACTTCCGACTTACGCAATGTTTCAGCAGTCTCTGCAAGATTTTGTCGTCACTGAGCCTATGTTCGGAATCAAGCTATCACAATGTATTGACTTTACGCTTGAAGAGCTTGAAAAGGCAAAATCGTCGCTGCGAAAGATCATGGACGATATCAAAATAAAAGAAGATGATGCAGCGGCCACGCGGTTGGTACGAAGCGAGTCCTTGGAATATTACAAAAGTCGTTACCGGTCTGCCGAAGCTTTGACGATAAACGCACGCACTTTGAAGACGAAATTGGCCGACACCGCGACAGCGGACCTGGTCAAGAGATACACGGTGGAGGTTTCTCGTCCACATGGCGGATGTCCGTATTTCCCCGTGCTGATACTCAAGGGAATAGTGTCGCATTGAATTCTCCTCGACTCCAGCCAGCAAGTCGTGATGTAGTTTTTATAAAAATGACGCATATGAATGATGTATTTAATGGATCGATGATCGTACTCGAGCTATTCAGAGGGCTTGGCTTTTCCAAAGCAGAGGCTGGTTTAAAGTATTATGCAATTTCAGAGATTGAGCTTTATTCAACTGGTTGCCGACTGTCGTAGTGCATTTTTTGGAAAACAAGCTCAACAGTCTTTCTCAAGGCACTGACGTTACATCAAGCTGTGATACTAATCGTATCTCTATCGAAAAGGCGCCAGTCGGTCATTATTCTCTGGTCGCGACCAAATCATCTGGTCCGTTAACCATCTGATTTCTTCATGTAGACTACGTATGGACCATCAGTTGTGACTGTTTCTGACCATATATCACTATTAACGAGAAAGGACTTCACCAGGCTTCTTGAACAAATGACGATAGGTTAGCTGCGAGTGTTTGGCTGTTACGCCGTGGCTTCAAGTTCACTATAAACTCAGTGCTGTAGGAGATCATCTGTTGCACGAGTCTATTTCACAAGTTTCCTATAGTTTTTCTGTCCACCCATACCTTTTCAACTTCCAGACATTTTATTGTTCGAATTTAATTTTGCTGAAAATTTAGTTTGCGACCCACGCAAGAAAATGGCATTCAGAGCCCCACTGGCATCCTAGCAAGCAGGCTGGGCAGAACTTTCAGGACGCTCTGCCTAGAGCTAGGCTAGACTGATCCACCATCAGAGACTCAGCCCTGCCTAGCTCGTCAGTGCTAGCCTGGGTCCAGGCGGAGGCTCCAGTGGGACCTTTTCGTTCAGCAGGTGGACCGCGCCGGGAAGAGCTCACCAGCGTGTAGTAACTATCCCAAAATGATTACTCTCATACTGGAGAATTTTGGAACTTTTGTTGAGAAGTACATCTCCTACACAAACCCTCAGCACAGATCCGCAAGAACACAAGATGCCTCCAAAGTTCGACCCAAATGAAGTTAAATACTTGTACCTAAGAGCCGTCGGTGGTGAAATTGGTGCTTCCGCCGCTTTGGCTCCTAAGATTGGTCCTTTGGGTTTGTCGCCAAAGAAGGTCGGTGAAGACATCGCCAAGGCCACCAAGGAATTCAAGGGTATCAAGGTCACCGTGCAATTGAAGATCCAGAACAGACAGGCTGCTGCCTCCGTTGTTCCATCTGCTTCTTCTTTGGTCATCACTGCCTTGAAGGAACCTCCTAGAGACAGAAAGAAGGAGAAGAACGTCAAGCACAGCGGTAACTTGCAATTGGAAGACATCATCGATGTCGCCAAGCAGATGAAGGACAAGTCTTTCGGTAAGAACTTGGCCTCCGTCACCAAGGAGATCTTGGGTACTGCTCAATCCGTTGGCTGCCGTGTCAACTACAAAAACCCACACGACATCATCGACGCCATCAACGCCGGTGAGATCGAGATCCCAGAGAACTAAGCTTCTTGATTAGGGGGATCACAATACATCAACAGTGGGCATCAAAAGAAAACCTGTTACACAACAATCACACAAATTTTCTGTATTTTCTAGTCTAGGGTTTTTTTTAACAATCAAACAAAGAAAGAGAGCTTAATGCGTTTTCCGTACACGCCTGTGAATTGTTAAACTACTATTCTTCCTGGGACACGTTCCCCGGTCTTGACCTTGAACGACTGCAATACTAACCAAAAAGTCTCGCATGCGTTAAAGTGTGTCGTAGCAAACGCACCCCGCGCGGTCTTGTTTTCCCAATTTCTACGTTTGTCTACACTCTGGATCTCAGCCAGAGTCTGGTGTTTTGTTCGCATGTGGGAAGCTTCCGCAAGTACACATGGGGACGATATTCGCATCAGACTCTATTATTCTTCTGTGTTGAGCTCCAATTTTAATAGCAAACAAAATCAACCGTGTCAACTACTCACCAAGATACATCTCATCGAACGTTCGATTTCAAAATCTTTCGCTCATAATGATTATATTGGTCCATTTTCACTGACACACATCTTCTTCTTTGTAAATCTTGTTAAAACAAAAGTAAAAAAGCAGCAAGTGGGAACCTCAGCTAAAACTGGAGGCATATCCATAAAATTTGGTAAATGTACCCGACTCTGGAATGCTCAATAATCTTCAGTATGCCATTTCTCTATTGGACACACTTCGATCGCCACAGATCCTACAAAGGTGATAGAATTCTCTCTTGACTACCTAACCAGTAAACAACTGCGCATTTGGCCCTGTACTTAATTCACTTATCAGATATTCCTCCTCTCTGGTTTTAGGCATTTCGTGTCGTCGGCGTCTTCTCCCTTATACAGTGATCGATGATATATTAAGAGATGACGACATTATTTCATCATAAAGGGAGATCCAACAGTTCAATCACCATTGAGTTCTACAAATTTACCGTGCAAGCCAGAAGCCAAGGTTCGACTTTGTTGTTTAGTTCATCGCAAGTATGTCAGCCGATTCTGTGGACCAGGTCTTTGAAAAGGCTATAGGCACAATTCATACCCTTTCTTCTCTCCAGGGATACAACTCTTTGCCCAGACCTCCTGCATTTATACGGACCGAACTGTACGCTTTATTCAAGCAATCGACGGAAGGTGATGTTGAAAATGTGCTGCCGAGACCAGAGGGCGATTTGAGCTCTCAAGAGCTCGTTGTGGCTAGAAAAAAATGGGATGCTTGGAAAACGAAATCGGGCATGAGTGGTACTGAAGCCAAAAAAAAGTATATCCAGATGCTTATCTCGACGATGAGATCGTACGCAATGGGCACGTTAGCAGCTCGGGAATTACTAGCAGACTTAGAGTTTCTCTGGTCGCAGGTGGCGGATCAGAAGGGCATGGAAGCGGACGAAAACAGTGGTATGATGCTTGAGCTGCAGGACGATTTGCAAGACACCAAATCTCTCCGGTTGCGTCGTGAAATTTACGAAACTCTTTTTGCGCTCAACGAAAATAGATCCGGGCTTCCATACTTCCGCGGTACTGATCATCCCAACAAAAAGAAGCCAGAAACCGAGCTGGGTTCCAGATTGTCAAGGCTACGAAGAATCTTGCGATACATGGCCGGTCTATTGGTTCGTCAGCTTTGGGGGCTAGCCAAGAAGCTGCTCATCAATGGTGTACTAACGGCGGCTTTACTTTTGGCTGCAAAACAACTGGGTTTATTCTCGCCCGTTCGCTTGGACCTGACGTTCAATTCGGATCGCAAGCCGCAACCTGTTGAGGGTCTTTATTCAAAATCACTGGCATTGTGTCGCGATGGAGCGGGTTGGATCTTCAATTATATCAATCGCTTCATGGGGTTTGGAATTCATCAAATTCACATTAGTGTGACATGAATAAAGGATATGTTGAAGCAGTCCTGCCGATCCGAGGTTAGGTTATTATAAACATTCATACTGACCGCCAAAAATCGTGTAACTACAGTGACTTGACGGATTTCAGAGGGGCAGAACATTAACTACTATGTCAAACCATCATGCTTCTGCCACTAAGCAATGGAATCTGGTATACTTTGTTCGACTTTCTGGTTTACTGACGCTGTCGTTTCTGATCACTTTTTCCTTTTCTGACACAGCTCATCGCGATATCAACTAATAATTATAGGCCAAAAGCCCTCAAATGGATCAAAAGTTTCCTTTCAAGACCAAGAAGCATACGTTCACAGGTGCTTTGCCGCCATCAGCATATGTCAAAATACAAATGGAGCGACCTTTTAGATATAAACTCCAAAACTAAAGCTTATAACTCTCCGCTTTCATGTATAGCACATATCGATATCAACGCTTTTTTCGCCCAAGTCGAGCAAATAAGATGTCACTTCAGCGTTGAAGATCCGGTAGTATGTGTACAATGGAATTCCATAATTGCAGTTTCGTACGCTGCTCGTAAATACGGCATCACTCGAATGGACTCAGTTTTTGACGCCATGAAGAAATGTGATAAACTGGTTCCGGTTCACACAGCTGTATTTCGTAAGGGAGAGGATTTTTGGCAATACCGTGATGATTGTGGCTCATGGTATATTGAGGAGGACAAGAAGCTCAGTCCTGAGAATTTCAAAGTTTCACTGGACCCGTACCGCAGGGAGAGCCGCAAAGTTTCTAAGATATTCCATAAATGGTGCGACTTGGTCGAAAAGGGTAGTGTAGACGAAGTTTTCCTGGATATGGGTCGCACAGCGTTTTCTTCGTTACTTTTAGATGACGAGTATGAAGATTTTGTGGCAATTCGAAACCAATTCAAGAATGGCGAGTACGACTTGGACGATTATCTACCGCCACTACCGAGAAATCTGAAAATCGCGTTCAGAGCTGGTGAAGACTACAATTCCGAACCACGGGCCGTCTTTCAAGACTGGGATGATGTCATTTTTTGTCTGGCAGCGGATATGACCTTCAAAATTCGTAAAGACATAAGTGATGTCCTGGGCTACACAACTTCGTGCGGCGTCGCACGGACTAAGACCATGGCCAAACTGGGATCCAACTTTAAGAAACCCGACGCCCAGACGATTATTAGGAACACAAACATTGCAAGTTTTTTGGACAACGAAAGCTCAGAGCTAACGTCGTTCTGGAGCATGGGGGGGATGATAGGAAAGGAACTCACGCTTCTTCTGGAATTGCCGTCTGAACAACCGCTTCGACATATAAGAGAAGCATGGCCAGTCTCGAGCGACGATTTGACAGCATTTATTAAAGAAAGAACACGGATTAAGACTGACGCTAATGAGAGGTTTCACAATCTTCCACCCGAGAACCTTCAACAGCTAAGCGAAAAGGTTTTTCAATTGGCGCGAGGAGATTATAGGATACCTCTCAATCCTCGTCCAATGATTCGTTCAATGATGTCTAACAAGAATTTGCGCGGCGATTCTTGTAAACACTATCAAGACTGTTTGGCCTGGTTGGAAGTGTTTAGCGGTGAACTAACATCCCGAGTTAAAGAACTAGAGCAAGAGTACGAACGCATTTTCGTGCCCAAGACTATGTCAATTTCGACCAGAACTTCTGATTTCCAAAAACATAGTAGAAGTTCAGGTATTGTCACGGCGGGCGTAGCTAAGGCCAAGGATTTCATGGAGCTAGGCACAAAGTTGATAAAAGACTTGGACGTCAAGTATGGACACACAAAGGGTTTTTATCCTTTGACCAACATCAACATGGTGATATCGAATTTCGAAATACTGGAAACTGGAAAAACCATAGTGGACATGTTTGGAAAACAAGCGCAAGTGATTCGCCGCACTCGCGACGACTTTTTAGACACAAAGGACGATAACCTCCCGTCAATTGAAGAGAAATTTAAGAAAGAGTTGCGGTGTGAACCTTGCAAATTAGACTTCGATGACGAATTGGCTTTCAAAGAGCATAGCGATTTTCATTACGCTATGAAACTGTCCGAAAACCTAAATGGCGTCAACGAAAACTCACAAAATCTCTCCTACGGCGAGCGGAAATTACTATTTGCCAACGGAAAACGTGCCGCTGTCGCATCAAAGCAAACAAGAAGCAAGAAGCGACAATCCACTGGGTCGACGGGCAGTATTTATAACTACTTCAACAAATAATGGTAAGGAATGGATATAACGGATTGTAATAAGGAAAAATACGAATAGGTTGAAATACCATACCTTGCGGTACAGCACCTAACTATAGTTGGCTTTATCGCATTCGATCCGGAAATTAGAGCACACTGGAGGTCCGCCTTGAAGTACTAAAAGCAGCAGGGTTCACATGTCTTCAAGATGGTCAGGCTTAGTTTCTTACTAGGTATAATGTAGATATGAGCGGTACGTTATCATGTTAAGGCAATTTGGCCGAGTGGTTAAGGCGTAAGATTAGAAATCTTTTGGGCTCTGCCCGCGCAGGTTCGAATCCTGCAGTTGTCGTTATTTTTACTCTCGATTTTAACATTTCACGTGATATCTTTTTCTATCTGCAGTACGACTCTAACCTCAGCCATAGAGTTTTTTGAATCGGTTTAATCCAATGCTACTTTCTTTATTTTATTAAAACCTCTCTACAAATTTGAATGTCCATGCCTCACTTCGAGGCTTCGTTTTAATTCTCGTTTTCGTTTTCGTCTTCGTCTTCGTCTTCATCTTCGTTATCCGGGCCTTCAGCTTTAGTACGCTGCACGAAGGCACGGACCTGATTGGCTACTGCTTCCCTTGACTTGTCTAGCAGCAGCATGACCAGCCCATCGCTACTGATCTCGTATTTTATAAACCCTTCATTGGGGATGCAAATTTCGGCGTCGAACTTGTCGAACCACTCATTAAGTTTATCCATCTCTTCGATCTCGAAGGGCAATATAAGCTCATCCACAAACTCATGTGTAGCTTTTGGAGCTTCGTCCTCCTGGGTGCTTTTCTCATCTTCCTCTACTACGTCCTCGAGCAACACTAGCATGCGATAAAACCGTTCATCAGACATCTTCGGACCAGTTACTCTGTGGTTATTTAATCGAAGCCGAGCCCTTCTCTTGGAGTTGAAAGCGTGCTTTTCAGACGGAATAACCAAGGTGAAGGCTAGCTCATCGCTGTGTCTTTCTTATGGTAGAAATTTCATTAAAAAAACGAGTAAAACAAACCACGTGATGTAAGAGCTAGGCTTTCTTACCGCCTACCACGTTTTCGATTTCAACGCCCGCACAGAGCAACATTGTGCCACAATTGTAATTCTCAAACTTCAACACTTTCCGACGTTTCTCCTTCCAACTGTTGTAGGTACAGGCTGTGGTTCACCAGATTCAAATATGCATACATGAAATTGCTCAGGGCTACCTGCTGCCGCAACTCACGCTTGGGATCGCCCAACTTCAAATGGCTGAGACGGTATATTGCTCTCTCCACATTGATTGGTAATCTTTGGTCTATCATGACGACCGTAGAAGTTGTTAGAGGTGGAAGTGGAAATCCAAAAGAACTGTCACTAAATACCATGGATGCGTTTGGGCGTGTTGGTTTGACGACGTCTTCGAATGTAAGTCTTCTGGGAGGCAAGGACACTCCTCCCGCAGCCGGCACAGCGATGTTTGACTGCATGACATTTTCGTTCACTTCGGAGACTGCTATTGTTGTGTCCTCTGCTGTCACACGCTCTTCTCGAGCTTTAACATTTGCAGTAGCACCATGATCAGCTTCGGATGGGGATGTTTCTACAGCAGTGGATTTCCGAGTAGCATCAGGAGCCTCTGTTCTGGTATCAGCGTTGCCGCTCGAGTGAATGACTTTGACATTGTCATGATCGAATTTGGATTCGAGATCAGAGTCCAGAAATCCTCTGTTTTGATCTTCTGTACCATGAGCGGGCAGAACTTGTTTATCGATTTGTGAAGATTCTTTATGTTCTGTCCGCAGCACCGGCTTCGTCTTTGAAGTCACATTCACGGAAGGTTGGAGTTTGGTGAGAGGCTTGCTCGTGTCCTCCTTGAGATTTTCGTGAGGAGTCATAGAGGAAGCACCGCCTTTTAATGGCAGATCGCCATCTCTCACTGAGACTCTGTCATGTTCCTTAGTTTTCCCACCACTGTTGGTTAGGTCAGCTGAAGACGACCTTGATCTGAGCCCCTCGGGAGCCCTTCCACCAAAGCCATTAGATGGTTCAAGAGTACCTATCGTACTTTTGTTACCCGTCGAGGCTGAGCGGTTTCGCTTAAACAACTGTATGAATTTTTTCTCACGAGTAGCTTTCCTGGAGGGTGAGGTATTGGTTGCAGTTTCTATAGGCTCGTTGATTTTGGATCTGTCCATGCCACTATCAATTTTGTGATGCCTGTATCTAGAATGATTGCCTTTGTCAAGGGCCCAGCCATTGTTCTTGAAATCGTTATCCTCAATATTTACAAAGTCATTTGAGTGCTTTCTGCCTGTTGTTTTTGAGCTTTCGGGGTCTTTGGAGGTCTTCTTCACGAACCAGTTCCACCCGCCTTTCTTGCGGGAGGTTTGGCCCCGAGTAGATTTCGCTTCATCTGTTTTCAGCGTCTCAATATCACGCACTGAACTATCATTCGAGCGCCGGATTTGATCTTGATTGATCGACGAGTCCTTTACCTTAGTGCAACTAGAGGCTTTCACGGGCTCCCCTCCCACCTCACGAGTGGCTCCCTTGTCTAGCTTCGCGTGTCTCTCGGGTGATTGAAAGTCAATCGAGCTGCCTAAGCTGCTTTGTCTGTAATGGTCATATATGTTGTCAAAATCATTGATGGAATTTGGTGACTGTGGTGAAATGCCACCTGTTCGAGGTGGAGACTTAATTTCACCTTTCGTCGAATCTAGTTCTGTTGAACGGTGGCTGTCATTACCGCCACTTGAAGTCCTTATCCTATAGGTATTGAATTTGCTCCGTCTCAGTGAAGAGCGCGCAGGAATGGCCAGACCATTTTTCATAAACATACTAGAGGCGAACTCATTGTCTTGCGGTTTACCGGATTCTTCTGAAATGCTATTTGTTTCTTGATCGCCGTTGGAGCTCACCATACTAAGGGTCCGAGCCAAAGAAACTGCATCGCTATCTGTAAAGCCAGCTCTATTAGAAATTCGCGTCAGTTCTTCGGTAAGATCTCTCAAGGATGCCGATTTTGAAGCTGCTCTATAAGGACTGATCCTTCTCTCTGAAAGCTCTCTTTTATCCCTTTCATTACCAACCTCTTGCTGCAGCAAATCTTCAAGTTCAGTGAACGATTTGCGAAGCCCAGACGGCCTTCTCACCAATGCGTTGGATCCCGAACGTAGCTGAGAAGATGGCGTGATGCCAAGATTCGATTGGGACGAGATCAGTCTATCATCACGGCGATCTTCACCTATGTCAGAGTCTCCCTTTAATGTATGCAACGTATCTTGGACAAGCTCCAAGAAATTTTCAGGTTTAACACTGGGATGCTGATTGGCGGGCACCCATAATAGGTTCTGCGTCACAGAGTCATCGCCTGATCCTGATTTATGCAATTTTGAGGTTCTCGATAGTCCTCCTCGACGTACACCGCTAAGAGTGCGCCCATCCTGCGAACTTTGGCTCAAAGCGAGATCACTGGTACTATCCAGATATTCAGTGTTAGTGATATCAATGCTGTCGTCATTTATGTATGAAAAGTCCTCGTCTGCGTCATCATCACTACTGCTCAAAATTCGGCCATCTCCCTCCAGGTCTTCCGGCGATTCTGTTTTGGACTCCACAGATGATTCGTCACTTCGTGAAGATTGTGATTTTGTGGGGCTGACCCGAAACTCCATTTCCGGATCTATCAGCATATCTAGCGAGCCGATCGATATTCGCTTGAGATTCTTGACATTTTGCAATTCTGAGTCTAAAGACTGAGCCGCGATGAGAACCTCTGATTTTCGTTTTTCGGATCTTGATTGCTGTGCTTGTCGATCCGTACTATTGCCAATTCCCAATCTTCTACTGGATTCTTGTACTCTTAGGTGTTCCTCAGATTCAATCGGCGACATATCGTAATAACCACTTGTGAATTGTCTCCTAACGTCAACTACAAAACTAACAACTGTCGGTTCGTAAGCGTTTCGTGGTGAAAAAACTCCCCGCAAAAGAGCTCTTGCACAATTTGAACCGTTTGGATTGAGAAGTGATCAGAAACCCAGAACAGTGTCGTGGGAATTCTGCTCAGCTACTTGACCTTTCAAGTTATTTGTTTCGATTGAGAAGCGCATTCTATCATACGCGTAAAATTTCATTAATGGTATGTTGATACGAATATATCGAAAAAGTGTCAGAATGGTAAAAAGTGATATCTCACTATTCTAACGAAGCTGGTGAGACTCAAGCGGTGAGAATAAGAAAGTATTCAGATCTCTATGGCATACCTACTGCTAGCGAGAGTGTTTATATTGTCCTTGAAACCCACCATACCCAATACTAGAAGCGCAACGTAGCCATATTTGAAAATCGATCCCAAAAACGAACGCAGTGCGACCCTTTTGTGATTCGACTCCAACCATACGGCAAGTTCCGAGCCTTGTGGTAAGCCCATGTAATTAGCAAATGTATGCAGTAAAACACACGCCCAGAAGTTGCGTCCTGATCGGAGAAAAACAAAGTTGGTGAATGCTCCGAAAATTGTCGTATATGTAAACTGCAGCAAGACCGTTGCGAATATTTGCGCTGGTGAGTAGAGCCCAATCGAGTGCATTTCCCATCCGTGGTGGACGTGCGCAAGACCGAAAAAAAGCGGAGAGATCCAAAGCACGGATTTGAGCGTTGCAGAGTAAGGCTGCATCAATAGAATGCAGTTCACTAGAAACGAGGTGAAGAATAGCTCTTCACTCAATGGTCCAAACACGTAGTTCCGGAACCCCCAAATAGTAAATATTTCATTTTTCAAGTCCTGCAAGAGTGATCGAAAGTTTTCGCCCGGGACGACCAGGTAGTAGACACAATTGTCCAGCAATGGGCCGCAATATAGGATACATGCTAATCCCAGCACCTGCAAAATGCCGTGCAGGTATCCCCGAAAATCAAAAGTGAGTTTGGAGCCGTTCACGTCGTAATATCCGCCCGGTATGAGACCCAAGGACCAAAAGGCGTCTTTGAAAGAGGTGTAACCGGACAGAGAGATGAAAAATGGAACCAAGATTAAGTTCAGAGCGGAAATACAGGTGACACGTCGTACTCGAGACTTGATTACACTAGGGTCATCTCTGCGAGTCTTTAAGGCTCCTATACTTCCAAAGCGCATGTGTATCGCTACGACGTACGAAAGTGAGACATACAGAGATACAACAAAGGATGTAGCCTTCATTGTCTGGTGAACAATTGCCAAACAGAATTGTGGGTTGTGTAGTAGTATGTACCGATCGTGATGAGCTCGATGTATTTATCGTTGGATCCGATGAGATGATATACGTATATAGCGACAATATAAAATGTCACAATATATTCAGTGGTTCAACTCCAGTTGTGAGATTCTTTGATTATCCGATTATCGTAATTTTCAAATCCGATGAGTTTAATAATATTAGAGTTTTCTTCTTTTCCGTTTTGCGGGTTCATTTCGGTTCTCTTCAATTATATCATACTTCCAATATAATGTCATTTTGGCTCATTCTGCTATGGCAAACAATCGCGAAGGGGAAACAGCATTGGGGATTTCCCAGCGTTTGTTGGCTGCCGAAAGCCACGTTTAACAACCCTAGGCTTGCAACTCGAGATCTGACACGAGTAAGGAAATATCTCTGCGCTCGTTGGGAGGGTTTGCCACAGGAAAAGAAGCTGTAAAGGCCACACACAGGGTTAAAATTGAAACAATTGTCGAGAGTAACTTCATGTTACTCAAAGGATCGCGAAATTGGAATTTATTTGGACCGGTGTCCGGAATTTGCAGACTTTTGTAATTTCGAAAACTGTGCTGTCGCTTTTTCAAAACATTGTCACGAAATTATCGGACTGACACATTGAATTTAGCGAAAATGGGAAGGCAGATATTCATCAACTCCGTGAGTTGTTTATCAAAGTGTGTACTGAGAGGCGTCATTGCGAAAAACTTTTGTGCCAATAATTAATGTTTGGTTCGTAAACCTTGGTATTGGGCTCTTTTTCTTAGTCTCTAAATCTTGACGTTTAAACTCGTTTTCGCAAACACACTCTACACGACTGGATTTCAGAGAGCACAGACGCGAGAATCATCTGTCGAGTGTCCTTATCCTAGCTTCAATGGTCTCCAGCGTAACAACAGCGGGTGTATTTAATCTCGGACAAAACACATGACGTTTGATGCCTATAGAAAAAAGCACACCTGCTCCCATTTCAAATAACTGGGCGTGTGGTCTAGTGGTATGATTCTCGCTTTGGGCGAAGTTCGAGATTTAACTCGGGCTACAATATCCACAAGCATGCGAGAGGCCCTGGGTTCAATTCCCAGCTCGCCCCTTTTTTGGCGTTTTGGTTTCTTGATTTGGAACGGCAGAAGGTACATCATCGTCACTGGCAAACAATACTTGAGAGTTCTAATCCAGGTACTACGTGTTTCCTGGTTTCGCTTGGTAGCGACAGCGTCGTTTATTATGAGTTTATAACAAAATATTCGTCATCCCTCTGCTGATATCTTTTTGAGCTACCCGAACCTATTCCACAAGAATCTCGAAATTCAATGCACACTACAGAAAGCCTCACGACAGGCTCACCGGACTAATCAGACACGATGACACGAATTTTCCCAAATTCAAACGCAACAAAAATTGCAACATAGAAATCCGGCACAACGACTGTACTCACAACAATACATGGCGTCCCATCTGTAACGCTAGACCTCAAACCTGAAATTTTGGTACTTGTAACTACTGTTTTTCAAACTACTTCAACAACAATGATCATTGAGTTTATCTACCCAATTCTCTAGTTGTCAGCATCCATAATCTACACCATCAATCTAAAAAATGAAAAACTCATTTGTCTAAAAAGCATATAGACCTTTTCAATTTCAACAGAAGCAAGGACCAGTAACCATCAAGTGAGCTTTTCAGAGGTCAATTGGTGTTGTTTTTGGATCTGTATTGAGTAACAATGGCTTTTACAGAGCTTTTAAAGAACTCGGGAAAATTGACATCTTCGCTGAAAGTGTCACTTTCTAAACCCTTGATTGGCTACCGCTGCGTAAGAGCATTACATTCGACTTCTAACCTTGGTGTTCAAGAAGAAAATTTGGAAACGACACATTTTGGATCTAGAACGGTGCCAAAAAGCGAAAAAGAAAAGTTGGTCGGGACAGTTTTTTCCAGTGTTGCCTCGAAATACGATGTAATGAATGATGTGATGTCCATGGGAGTCCATAGATTGTGGAAAGACCATTTTATCAACAAACTTGACGCCGGAAAAAGACCCAACTCCAAAGAACCGCTTCATTTTATCGATGTAGCCGGTGGCTCTGGCGATATCGCTTTCGGCCTATTGGACCATGCCGAACACAAATTTCACGACAAAGAATCAGACATGCATATTGTGGATATTAACGCTGATATGCTGAAGGAAGGTGAGAAGAGAGCCATGAACCAAGGTAAATACTTTAATGATCCGCGTGTCAAGTTTTTGGTCCAAAATGGCGAAACTCTAGATGAAATCGAATCCAACTCTAAAGATGTGTACACCGTTTCGTTTGGGATCAGAAACTTCACTAACATCCAGGCGGGACTCAACACTGCATATCGTGTTCTAAAGCCAGGTGGAATTTTCTACTGTTTGGAATTCTCCAAAGTGAACAACCCTATTGTCGATACTGTGTACCAACAATGGTCTAAAGTGCTGCCTGTCATGGGTTCGTTGGTCGCCAATGACTACGACTCTTATCAGTATCTCGTGGAGTCAATTCAAAAGTTTCCAGAACCAGAAACTTTCAAAGGCATGATCGAAAAAGCCGGTTTTCAGAGTGCAGGTTACGAACCGCTCACATTTGGTGTTTGCGCCATTCATTGGGGAATTAAAACTTAATGCACTTGTCAAAGGTTTGGGAAATGCATGGAATTGTACAAAAGCGCGTTAAATTTAAATTTATAAAAGTCAAAATTATGACTCTAGCCTTCTTATTTGAGCAGGAACATCGAGCGTTGCTACTCCCGATTGACCCTCAAACTTTATGTTGACACGAATACAGTATAGCCTTGAAATTAGACAACTCTCGAAGGTTGGAACAAGCGTTTCCCGAATGTCATCAGACAGCTTCACATTGACGGTTACGGCCCTGTCGTATTCCTGGTGACTGCTTTGAACCCATTCGTTGAAAAGCTGTCTTTTCAACCTTTCAGCGGTCGAGGTGTGAAAACTGCCAGCAGAAGAGCCGCTAAATGTAGCACTGAGAAGACTAGAGCTACTGGGACTTTTGATCGGTACCAGTCCTCCAAGGTCGTCATCATCTCTCAGAGTGTGCGATTGCTTCTTGAAAATCTGAGGTAAGACCTGAATTTCGCTACGCAGAGTAGCGATACTCCGTACATCATTAAGCATTTGCTCTGAGAGGAAATCTGAAAACCTCAATTCTTCGTGGACACCTGATCTTCCTGTTGGCTTAAAGAGTCTTTTAAGCTCTTCATGATTATCCTCAAACTTGCGATGAAGCTCTTCAGCTTCCTGCTTGAATTGCTGGAATGCACCTTGAACCTGTTCGAGCCTTTCTTGCTTCAGAATTAAATCTGCATTCATTTTTACAGGAATCGAATTTGTAGATCTTGATGTCATGCAGACAAGCTCTGTAGTCACTGAATGAATATCCGGGGGGAGGTGGGACTCAGAATTGTTAGCTTGGATGCACTTCATATTTATTACCAACTTATCCAGAACGTCCCTATCCTTATCTGGTAAAGAAGACACCAGATTGTTCCAGTTCTCTCTGTTTTGAGCACCTTTGTTTTCCAAGCTATTAGTTTTTCTCAAAAGGGATGGTTCTGTATATGGTAGTCCAGCTTTAGGGATTTCGCTCGAAATCACTATCATTCCAGATTTATCGGCGTTTAAAGTTGCTGAGCTTGAACTAGAATTTGAAGGCCCCCCCAAACCTGCAAGGAAAGTTTTTTTGAGCTTAGTCGAAGATTTGCTTTTGGTTTTGATTCTGTACCTGAATTCAGTTTCGACAGTTCTAGCACGGTTAGATTTGGAGGTCTTTGATGTGCTCAATGGAAATGAGGAACAAACCGGATCGATACGGTTGTTAGTATAAAGCTGATCGAGTTTCCGTCTCAAGATTTCTTCAGAATCGATTTCCGTGGGATCTACCGCAGAACCACTGATATCTGTATCGTGTAAATCTTCATTTGTTATCTGCTCCCCAGTTTCCAACCGCTTCATTACTTTTTTCAAAGCGTCAATCCTTTCCTGAATTAGTCGGGTGATGTCCTGTAGTTGTTTTAGAGGAGATCGCTCACCCGTGAAAGGCCGACAAAACCCAAATGGTACAAATCTAAGATTGTACTCGCGCTCCTTCAATATGTTTAACTTCTTTGTTTTAGAATCCTTTCCAACGACTTTGGTGTCAATGACATATCCAATTGATGTCTCGTCAGGCGAGAGGTCATCCGTTAATATGGGGGAGCCCTTGGTTCCCAAATGACCGTAACCAAGCATGTTATTGATTTTGATACCGCCATACATCCCACCGCCTCTCAAAGAGTCAATACCCATTGTTGGCGGTACGAGGCAGTGAGAGAATTGCTGATGCTTACAGGATACATCTAACAGTTGTGTGGGTAGCTTGAACATGAAATACTTCTTATACTTCGTGTTTGGAGTCAGAAGCCTGCTGTTGTTAAGCCCCATAATGCAATTTTCAAAGTCTTTTCCACCAGCGATATAGTTCAGACCATTCGAGACGTCGATATTAGAATACGACCAGCTTGCACTCAGGTCGACCATCCTAAGAAATCGTTTGACAGTTCGCTTTCCGCCCAATCGATCGATAACGGTCGAATGACCTTCTAAGGTGACGTAAAACATTTCAAATTTGAGTGGCTGAGGTGAGGTGTTTTCAATTGTCACGTATCCGTGTATAATATCCCCCGATGTGTATTCTCGCAATATCGATTCGTCTTCCACTTTTCTGTCAACCCCTGCAGGCTCTTTCGTGACATGTATGTTTACCTCGATCGGCGTACTCATTTTTGGCAAAGAATAGATTTTATCGATGTTAATGTTGTCCGCTTCGTCTAGGTCATCTTGAATTGGTTCTATAGGCCCATGAGTAGTTCCCAGGGCCTCTAAATTGTACATCTGGTCTCCCACAGTGCGGGCAGCTGTAAAGTTAGTTTCCCCCGCATTGAGAGGCTCTACCGAAGTCTCTGAGGGATCGCTGTACTGCAGGCCACCACCGAGACTATCCAGTGACGGTGCTTCAGTCTGAACCTCTTGGTAGGTTGGTGGGAAGTCAACTTGATCAGGATCGACGTTCCCTTGCGGAATGTGTCGATGCAAAGCGTTGTAGAGCTCAAAAGAGGGTAAGACGTCCACCATCACGTTGCTCTCATGGGAAGAAGCACTCGGGTCTCCGCTGGTTCCAATTGGTTTCGACTTTCCATCTGCTTTTTCAGTGCACACTTTGGTGTCGAGGTCATTCCTGGAAGATGACCGATGTTTTGAATCATGGGCCAAACTTTGGGATCTGTTGAACTTCAAAAGATTTGAAGAAGAAGTGTTTTTGAAAAACACCGATGGTGACTGAGATCGACCTCTATTGCCCTCTGTTCCCTGCTTCTTGTTATCAGATCTCAACTTGTTCTCATGACTCATTGCTGGTATTCGAAAGACCTTTATATGTCCAACACAGGTGCTTCAGAACCAGTGAAAGTTACAGAACACCTTGATATGGTTTACAGGACTTTAAAAGTAATTTTCTGATGGTCTCAACAGCTTAGCAAAGCTAGGTGTTTCGAGCAATTGCGTCTTTCCGATGTGACCTTATAATACATAGTCGAATGAACTTTCTCTTATAGCTGCGTTCGTGAAACCGGACATAATCGCACCGAGCACCAACCGTACATATACGACCCATATTCGGTTCCGAGAAGATGCCAAGTGAGACTGAGTATGTTGTATGTCCTAACGTACAGTGGGAGAAGCATTTCCCGCAGTTTCGAGAAAACAGGACTGCTCGAATTGTAGGAACGAAGGATTCTTTTGGTGGGCCGCGGAAAAAAAATGGTTTTCTCGTTAGATGAGTTGATAATGTAAGGCCAAACTCCAGCCGGTGCGATCAACACAGTCTTTCTTTGCCTTAAGTCTCTATTCTTTTTTTATTGTAGCCTTGCAGCTCGTCCCATTTAATTGTACATGTAGCTGTTGTGGGCAATCTTTTTGAGCTCTCGTAGATTCGAGAAGTCGTTCCGGGTCATACCCTTGCATGACCCCCACAAAGCATCAAACTCCCGAACGTCCAAAATGAAGTTTCTCTCGGTGAACCAGAGATGCTCTTTGGATTTTTTGTGTCTTTCGCGATCGTTTTCCATTCTATGCAGCACTGCGTTGCTATTCACGGCCTCTGTCACCGTACAGATACCCTCAAGACGGTACAGCTCTTGCATCGAGGCTGCGTGTCTAGCTCTGTCGACCAGCAGTCGGTAGCAGTTTGCCATGGCCTGTTTATAGTCGTGCCGATCCTTTTTGATGGCTTGGTCCCAGGGAAGTTCTAGAAGCTGTTGGGACGTGTGATAATCGTTTAGAAGCTGGTTGAGAGGCTCTTTCAATAGAGTTTCGTCTGAAGGCTGATCCAAAACCTCGCAAAGTCGATTCAGATATATTATGATATCCACACACACGCTTAGATTTGTCAGTGCCTTCCAATCGTTCTCAGGTAGTACCAGAGCCACCATGTCATCGAGTTGCCCCAGAAGGTGACCATAAATAACTTTTCCGGTGTTGTTCAACTGACCATCGACGTCTCGCATGCATCGTGACCAGAGCATGGAAACTAATCTACTCCAGTAAATTAGAACGTTTAGCCGATCCAAGGAGTCCATTTTTGCCGCAGAATCTAGCATGCACTGCTGGAAGTCTTCATAATGGTGTTCGTAATGTCGCAAGTAAAATGCCAGCGGATCGTTTTGTTGCTGACTTCCGCCAGAGAGCGGCGAGCTATCTTTTGAGACATTGAGCGTCTTATGAAGGTTTTTGATGACCTGTAAAAATTGCAGACGAGCTTCAAAAGCATCCATCGTCGTTGCAATTCTATGTGGGCTCTTGATGGACAGGCTTAAAGAGGTTATGATGTTCTTATTTGAACTGCTCGATGCTTATATATTATAGTATGTTAAGAACACTATTTTTCAATTAATTGAAGCGTTACTACCAGATGGCAGCGACAGAACGAAAAGGTCTACGATGTTGATTATCAAAAGATATTGCCAAGTCTAATGCATATTCCACTACGTTCTCAGTAGGAACTCTCTGTTGATAGGATGAAATATCCGTTTTGTTAAACCTGTTTTTTCATGCTAGAATGCTGTATATGTACACTGTTTAATCACGATTGGTATGCGAATGAGATGCAAACGAAGTGATGGAGTCTGGGTCTCCAGTTATGCCGAAACGGTCCTGGTAAAGCTTCGGAGAGTGTGAGCTTGACGCGCTTGGCCGCGACGATTGTTGGGGCACATTGGCAGGAAGAAACGGCGGATACCCTGGCAAAAGTTGTGATCCATTTGAATAATTTACCCACGGCTGAAGGGGCATGAACGTGGATTGCATATTAGCTAAACTTCCTGAGTTTCCGGTAGGAGAATGTGCACGGTTAAATAGGTCCAGTCCCGGAATGCGTCCGGAGGGACCCGTGACAGTATTTGTGCGAATTGGCCCATGTGCGCTGTTATTGCTGCCGAAGTTGCCACTATGGGATTGGGTGCCAATGCCCACACCTACACCCACCCCAACACCGTTTGAACTGGTGGAGTGCGAGATAGATGGAGTCGCGGCAAGATGGCTTGACGCAGATCCGAGCGGTGAGTACACCGCCGAAGACACCAGATCTCGCGATCGAGACATGTCTCTGTTAGCAGGCATAGGCAAACCCATGTTGACCTGGTTGCGCTTTTGGATGTGGTTGGCGGGCGATCCTGCAAATGAGGATCCTAAGCTTGCAGTTGAACCTGAACTTGACGGTGATCTACCGTCGCCGCCGTTCAAAACGATCGGGTTATTATTTTGTGCTGCTATAGAGGCAGCAGCAGCAGCTGCTGCTGCTGTAGCATTGGCCACCGCATTTCGACCTGCCTCACTTTGGATCTGAGCCTGCAGAACCGCGTTCAAGTCTTGCAAGGGATCATTTTGCTTGATCACGTGGCCCTTGCTGCCAGGTTTTCTTCCCGATCCAGGTTTCCTGCCCTGAGCCAAAGTTTTACCCTTTCCTGGTTTCCGACCAGATCCTGGTTTCCTGCCCTGTGCCAGCGTTTTGGCCATCTGAATGGGGAGTATGTATTATTGGTAATAAGTTGGAAATTGAAAAACTCAATAGTAGTAATGTAATGAGGGTCTTGCACTTAGCGAATAACCCTACAATAAAATAAGTCTCCAGACTCCACGCCCGCTGTTTCCTGTTTACGAGCCTGCGTTCAACCACCCAGCCAGAGTGCAATCTCAACACAACAAGAATATGCTTGCAATATTGATTCGCTCAGACGTAATATCCGAGCTTTTTTCTCCGTTGGAAAAGGTGGTGAAACGTGAAAATTCACAGTATATGAGCCACTCCCAACAATTTGAGACGTTTGCCTAATAGATCCGGCTAGAGCTCTCTATATCTTGTTGTTTACGATTGATAGAATTAGAGTGCTGAGCTGATGTCCGATGAGCGTCTCTGCAAGTGTAGGAAAATAAAGGCCCAGATTAAAGGAAAAAAAAAACCGAGGTCAAAAAAAAAAAACCTGGACGGTGCTGATATCAAATTTGGTCACTGTGAACGGAAGATGAGGAGGAAAGTCAGATGACCTGGGATAATAGTTCAAAATAACGAAAGCATTTGATGGAGGAAACCCGTAGGGAGGAGGAAAGCAGTAGTTTTCCTTAGAGATTGAGTAGTTAGTGAGAGAAAATGGGATCAGGTTCTGTTACGTAGGTAGGGACGTATCATCTTGTACGGGTGGATAGAAACTTGATCAGACAAAGACAGTATCGCGGTTTCAATGGGCAGATTGAGCTCTGAAAGCGGGAAAAGATATGATTGTATTTGTGTGTTTGTAACGACCAATTGCAGACAGTGCCATTTTTATTCCTGTTTTAATCTAACTTGCGTTATAAGTAGTGAGATTGAATCGATCACGTCATACGATATCAAATGACACTCTCTAAAGTCATTTTTGGTAGACCATAGGATAAGGACATTGTTGAACAAATGAGAGCGTCAGAGATCGATTGTGAACAATAGATGTGGCGTTAAGAAGAGGTGTACGGCGGAGATCCATCAAGACTCTACGAATGTCCCAATTAGTCACTACTTTTGGTCGTTCAGTGAAAATATTCAAGTCTCTTTTATACTCTCAGTCTTCCGTTTGTGGTTGGTTTGGCCCTCCAGGCTGAATGTGCGTAAAATGACGATTACCACATATCGTTATTGTAGGACTGGCCGGTTACTCGTCGTTGTGTAAATATTTTTGATCAGTTTATCAATTCTGACGCTGTCGTCAAGTCACGCGAGCGGTGCTATAAGTCTGGCATCCATCATGGAATGAAACAAACACAATGTAGCCATCTGAAATACACATAATGCTTGTCTTGTTCAAGTGCTTGAAACGAACACATTCGAGATGTGTAAAATACATTTAATTATTGAGGCTCGACTACGTCGGCAGTGTGCGAGTTGTTAAACTGGTTAGTTTGCTCAGTCGTGATTTGCTCTAAGTGAATGGTTACGGTTTATGGATTCTACTTATCTCTCCGTGGTTCTTTTGACTGTAAGTTTTGTTCGTTTTGTTTGACCAAACCACGGATATTTAAACAATTTTTTGGAGCAACAATAAGCAAACAATGGGTAACGCGTGGAACTCAGCCCACTGGGAAAGATTGCTTAATAGTGCTCCTGGACTGCTTGCAAATTCTGCATAGCGTTGACGTGTTGCTTCATATCTTCACGATTGGTCCATTTCACCTTAGCTTTTGATATGTCATTTTAGACTAATATGTCATTTTCTGATTGCGCAATTGGCACTATCCCATATAGTTTACCAATCCCAACAATCATGCCTCCACTGCTCAAAGGCTTGAACCAAATACATATCCCACATCATCCTAAATGCACAGAATGCTAGCGCTGTTCAAAGCCTGAACCCAACACATGTCCTTCACATCATCTCAAATACACATAATGTCTGTACTGCTAAGAGACCTAAATTGGACACAATGTAACGATGTAAATTGCAAATGAGGTCTCCACTGCTCAAATGTTTGAACTCAAAACACATCCCACATCATCTCAAATTGTCGTAACCTCTGTCTTTCCAGCGTCATATCCACAACAAAAAGGTCACATACACGTGATACAATGACAGCGACAGAATCTGCTACGATATTAAAAGTATACGGAACTACTACAGGAACTGTTTATACTCGTGTTGAGACTCTGTCTCTGGAGTGTCGTTGCACGATAAACGTCCCATATCCTGGGTGATTC